AACAGAATCCTTTTCTACGCACTCTCGTGGCACAGATTCCTCTTCTACCAGGCCTCGTCAGCCGTTTGTTCGAAACCCCCAGGCGCGCCCACGACTAAACCCCATGCCCACGCATTCGCGTCGACGCAAATCTTTAGTCAACTTTGTCTTCAGCCCAAGTACGTGCCCGCGGCTAACTACGACTACGCCCTACGCTCTAACCGCTCCCACAGTCCAACGATTCCCCGTCAGCCTTTTGTTCGAGCCCGCCAGGCGTGCCCACAACTAAACCCCATGCCCACGCACTCACGTCCGTCAATTTCTTTGGCAATGTTTTTTCTAGCCTAAGCACGCGTCCACCGCCAGCGACGACTACGCTCTAACCGCTCCCGCGGTCCACTTTGCAACGTTTCCTTCGTCAGACTTTTGTTCGAAACCGCCAGGCGCGCCCAGTGACTAAACCCCATGTCCTCGCACTCGCGTCGACGGAAATCTTTGGTCAATTTGTTTTCAGCCCAAGCACGCGCCCGCCCCTAACTAAGACTACGCTCTAACCGCTCCCGCGGTCCATTTTGCAACGATTTGCCGTCAGCCTTTTGTTCGAACCCGCCAGGCGCGCCCACAACTAAACCCCATGCCCACGCACTCACGTCGGTAAATTTCTTTGGAAATATTTTTTCCAGCCCAAGTACGCGCCCACCGCCAACGACGACTACGCTCTAACCGCTCCCGTGGTCCACTTTGCAGTGTTTCCTTCGTCAGCCCTTTGTTCGAGACTGCCAGGCGCGCCCACGACTAAATCCCATGCACTCACGTCGATGAATTTCTTTGGTAATGCTTGTTCCGGTTCCAAGCATGCAAATTTCGGTGCTATTATATCAAACCCCACGCCATCATGAAATTAACCCACCTGCTACCCAAGAAAATACCGTGGGCCCGAGGGTTTTCTAAAAAACCCTAAACCCATAAAAGGTGCAAGTTTGGGCGGTGGGGATGAGAAACCCAATACGAAAGCGGCGCGCCTCCCCTCGACATATCTTGGGGAGGCGCCGCCGCGATACTGTAAACATCCTAAACCCTAAACCATAAGCGCGCGCTCAGCCCCGCGGGCACGTCAGTGCCCTGGCAAGCGGTGGAGCTTGCCCTAAACCTAAGGAATGGATCGTGGCAACCTCGAACCTCGTGGCACAGGATTGCCTGGTGCCTCCCCGGTGCCTCGTAGGCTCCTTGGTAGCCCCCCAGGCTGTCTATTTGGTCCTTTCCTGCCTCCCTAGTGCCTACCAGGCTGTCCAATTGGTCCTTTCCTGCCTCCCTGGTGTCGCCTAGTGTCTAATTATTTCTTTCCTGCCTCCCAAACTCTCCAAATGGTCCTTTCCTACCTTCCAACTAGGCCTTTCCTGCACCCCTAGTGCCTCCGTAGTGCCTCCCAAGTTGTCCAATTAGTCCTGTCCTGCCTCCCCAGCTGTCCAACTGGTCCTTTCCTGCCTCCCTGGTGCCTCCCAGGCTGTCCAAATGGTCCTTTCCTACCTCCCTGGTGCCTCCCTGCTGCCCTCGCTTGTGCCTTGGCGCTGTGGGATTACCCTCCGATGAGCAAATTTCAATAGCGACCGGCACGATTCGCGCCAAATCCTGGGTGGGCCCCACGGCCGTCGAACAGACTGCTTCGCAAAGGCCTTCTCCTTGAACTAAATCCCATACGCACGTGCCCGACCTTGCCGTTGAGTCCCCAAGACTAATGGGCCAGGCCTGGCACGCCCTACGACGTCGTTGCAAAAAAAAAACCTTTGAATTGTCCGACCTTGCATTTTCGTCCCAATGCAAACCCTTGGAACGCTCGCTTGGCTCGACGATGTCGTTTCCAATCTTGCCTTAGTCCCAAAGCCAAACGGTTGACTGATACTCTTCCCTCGCAGAGATAACGGAGCGCGCTCGCGACGGGCGGACGGCCGGCGCTTCGCTCCCTCGCTCTCCCTCGCGGCGCGCCTCCGCCGTCCATCGTCGCCACTTCGCCACTCCGCGTCGCCATGTCCAGATGAGCCGATCACTGAAAGAAAGAGGTTGTTGGGCCAGGCCAGGGTCCTAAAAGGTTAAGGTTTGGGTGGAGCCAGCGGGGGTGGAATTTGTCCGCGGACTCGGCGCGCGTGTGAATGGTGAGGGGGGCGTGAAAGCAGGTTGGATAGGCCCCCCCCCGTGGCCGCACACGCGCGCTTGTTGATCAACACCCTAAACCCCACACCCTAAACCCTTTGATAAAGATGATTCAAACTAAAGACTTTGTATGATTTTCTTCCGCCCTTGTTCCTTTGCTGTGCCCTTTGGTAAGTAAATACGAGTAGCACACGGTCGAAGGCACGGCACATTACGGGGTCGGACCAATCGGCGCGGCTTCAAAGTCGAGTGCGACAAAGTCCATGCAGCCTCTCATCGCTACTTCCGAAACCAACTGGAGCTGGAGGGCTTGAGCTGTTGTGTCCATTTGTGCGCCGCTCACCCCTGCACACAACCAGATGATGACTGCCTTCACGTGATCGCCTCAGCTGTTGTACCTAAAATTGCCGAGTGTGACTTGCATCCTTTTGCGCTCGTTGTGCAACAGCTGCATGGCTTTTTAGATATACCAGTGTCGGCCTATGCGGGAGCTGCTACGGGGGAGTCAAAGGAGCAATGAAATGCCTGTGCTGCTTGGGATATGGAGCGCGCAGACCAAGGACCCGAAATCGGTCCGCGCCTTCGAGCGGAATGTCAACACCGAGACATAAGAAGTCTGAAACAGAGTCAGTCGTTTTCTTGTTCAAGGAAGGGCCATCCCACTGTCGCTAACTACGTGCAAAGATGCAGCGAGAGGAGAGAAAGTGATTGTTGCTGAGTTCCGATGCCAAAATCAACAGCCCTAAGGATCTCCGAGATAAGGATGGCACATTATTTACTTCATTATGAGGGACAAGCCGCGAAACACACCTACGTCGTGGAAAGATACGACCGTGAAATACAGATCACCAAAGGAGGGCTCAGATTGTGTAAGGCCTTCAGTTCCAAAAATGAGAGACCCCGCCTTGCTCCTCCTCGCCGCATCCTGCACGGCTGCCCAAAACCCTTTTCCTTCGCCCACGTCAAGAGTAAGAGGTGACCACGTATCTTCACTGGCGACTATCTATGTCCATTTTCAGAGGCCAAAGAGCTGGCTATATCGGCTTCTGGGAAGCCTATAGTTATCTATCTCCACTTTTTAGAGGCCAGTGATCATATCCGCTTCTGGGAGGCCTGCAGTTATCTACGGCCATTTTTCAGAGGAAAGAGAGCTGGCTAAATCCGCTTCTGGGAGGCCTGCAGTTATTTATATTGACTTTTTAAAAGGAATCAGCTTCTGGGAGGTCTGCAGTGAGCTGGCTTTATCTATTTCTGGGGTCCTTTCTGCTGACACAATTCCCTTGGTTGGATCTCCTCGGAAAGCATAGTTGCGCTTGCAGAAAGTCACTGCGATACAGGCTTTGATTGAAAGATTGGTGTTGGTAGGCAGAAACTTGGGCAAAACATTTTTCAAAGGTGAGGCAATCAAGAGATGCAGAGAGAGCGAAAAAGAACATCGACATTATCTCATCGGATATGCGGGATGCTAATATGCTTGGCAAATATTTAATAACAGCACTCGACGTGCAACGCCAAAAATCTCTGAAGTGGGCAACGGAACTCTTACGCACAGTGATCGCGCATACTACCACCATAATTACAGGTCAGAGATATAGGAGCCGGCAAAGGAGCAAAGGGTCTGCTGGATATTGTAGTCCAAGCAAAAAAACGAATAAACATTGAAAACTTTAGTAATAAAATCACTAGGAGTGGTAGGATCCCCAGTCTCATTGTGGATGAGGCAAATTTGGCATTGCCCGGACTAAGTAATGATGCGAACACGGCGGCCAAGTCAGCTCTACACTCAATCAACGCATTTATTTCCTGGAATCGTTTTTAGTAAGTTGTCAAACCAAACAACCAGCACAACATACGCAATACACTTGAACAAAGCTCAACCCAAAAAATAACAATCTAACTTGTAAACAACAATTCATTCAACACTACCGTGCAAATTGCAAAAATATAGTAGTACAATTGTGCAAATTACAGTAAAATATAACCTGCTATGTAGTTTTTGCACAGTAGACCATGAAACTACACAGTATACTGTGTACTTTTCTGGAAAGTACACAGTGTACTGTGCAGTTCGTATGTCCAGACATTCATGAGACGGGCTTATCATCGAGGAGTTCCTACTGCGGTCATCTTTGTTGATTTGCGGGCGGCCTTCCACTCGGTTGTGAGGGAAATCGTCTTGGGCCCGAAGCTCGGAGATGGAAAGGATAGGTGCATTCTTGAGGAAGCTCTGCTTCGAGAAGGCTTTGCGCAGGAGATAGTGGAGAAGCTTGTGAATGCACTGGCCATTCTTCCTGACTGCATGATGACAAAACTTCTTCGGGAATTGCATAGCCGCACTTGGGCAACTCTGAATGGTGAGGCGGTCCGTACTACACGAGGTACCAGGCCGGGTAGCCCTTTGGCTGATGCCATGTTTCATTGCCTCATGGGTCCAGTGGTTGCTGACTTGGAGAGGACCATCAGCGCTCGGGTGCAGCAGCAACAGATGAGACAACAGTGTGATACCATTGGGGCACAGATTGTCTGGGCAGATGACTTGGCGGCGCCGGTCCTAGCTTCCTCCAATGAAGAGCTGCTAGGAGAGGTTGGGAGCATTTTTCTTGAGGTGGAGCTCGCCTTTGAACAGAGAGGGATTACTCTTAATATGTCCAAGGGAAAGAGTGAAGCTTTGTTGACGCCAGCTGGAGCGGGAGCAAAGCAACTTCGAGAACAGCTTCGTCTGCAACCGCGTTTGGAGCTTGACAGCTTTTGTTTGGGCCCTGGTCAACGGGCTCTGATGCTGGGGGCTCAGTACAAACATCTGGGCACTACCCTTTCAGCAGGGGTCTGATGGGGCCTGAGATTCATCGGAGGATTGGACAGGCATGGACGGCCTTTCGTTCTATGTCAAGGCAGCTCTTTACCAACTCTGCTTTGAAGGAAGCAACACGGCTGTTCCTCCTTGAAGCTTTGGTCTTCACCAAGCTCTATTACGGGTGTGGCTCTTGGCCTCTCCTTCGTGCGCAAGACATGCGACGTCTTCAAGTATGTCAAGGCAATATGCTGCGCCGAACACTCCGGCAGAATAAGGTGGAGGGGAACAAAGTCATGTCAGATGTGGAGATCCTGATCAGGGCTGGCTGTGTGCCAGTTAGGGTTAGGCTTGCTCAGCATCGTCTTCTTCTTGCAGCCCGGTTGGCACGACATGGTCCACAGTTTGTACTGCAGGAACTCCAAGGGGAGGCAGCAGAGCTATCAGATGGATGGCATACTGGCCTTGCCGAAGATCTACAGTGGCTTGCATCTGCCATGGATCTGAGCACATGGGGCACTGCCTTTGAGGAGCTCCGATCTCACTGGGTCAAGGGACGACCGGGGTGGAAGCGAATTGTGAAGCAGGCAGGCTTGAAATATGTCATGCTTTTGCCTCGTTTGTGTGGTCGTGCCTTAGTTCGAGGTGGAGAGGAGGACACCCTTTTGGATCTCCTTCATCAGGCTCAATTTCGATGTGAATGTGGGATGCTTTTTGGGAATAGCAGGGCTCTCAGGTTGTACCGCATTCAGAAACATGCTTGGCGCAATGCTGAACATGGACGCATTCACGGGGCAACGTGCCCTGTTTGCCTTCGCCATTATTGGACGGTCAACAGGCTGCAACTACACCTGCGCTATGTCTCCAGGCAGGGTCGTCCAAATCGGTGTGGGGCATGGGTCCGCTTGTTTGCTCTTTTTGAAGCTGAGCGGATGGACCTCCCAGCGGACAACTTTGTGGCTCTCCCAGGGGCCACGAAAAAGGATGCCATAGCGCTTGTTGGACCGCGTGTCCTAGGCGCGGATGAGAATGACCTCAACTATGTCGAGCAGGAGTTCATGCAGCTTGGACAGGATTTGCTGTCGAAGGGGGTTTCACTTGGGCTGATTATACCGTGGGAGAATGGCTGGGAACTTTTTTCCTTTGGTGCATGCATGCTGACTTACAAGGGGAAGATCTTGAGTGGTGGCGCCACGTGATCAGTGGTTGGGACGATGGGCTGCGTCTCCTACAAGCTCATGACCTTGCGGTACACGTTCACCGACTCCGTGAGCTACAGGATGCTTCGCCTGAGAGGGCAGCCTATATGGGTCCCACGACTGCCGTGGATCCAGTGCAATCCGGGCATTTACCTCCGCTACCGAATGTGTGGCGTGACGGGATGCCCTTTGCTGTTCACCGTTTGTCGCTCCGTGTACTTGGCACGTTGACGTGACTTGGAGGTGCAGCTCTAATTGAGCTTTTGTCTACCGACGGCTTTACGCCATAGGCTTCTGCCTACAAATGGTCGCGAAATGAAATGAAAAAAGTTGTTGTTGTTGTTGATGTTTGGTTAGGCTGCTCTTAAGTAGTGGTTGCTTTGCCATCTGTCTAATCCAATGCTACCTTTTGGGGGTTAAGGTGGAGCAAGAAGCACAAACGGCAACTGTTCCCAGAAGAACTTTTAATGGCTATGGGCATGCCGGTCACAGAGGAGGCTGCTAGCATGGTTAGAACTTCTCGCCCTGACCTCACACGCCTCTCCGCAAGTCAGAAGGATAGGAGTTAAGCAAAGAATCAGGCTGTTTAAGCTACAGTACATCACACACTTCAGTTAAGTGTGACATAGCGTGACCCTGATAGGTGCAGCTTGCCGGAAATGGCATGGATATTCCTTGCGTGGGCTTTGTTCTGCTCAGCGTGGGCCCTGCTTGTTTCGCCCTTGGATACAATGTTAAAGATCGATTGTTTGATGTGGCCAGGCCGTCCTTTGCCTGAAGACAAAGAAATCAGGCTTGTCCTTCAGAGTTTGATTGTTGACAATATGTGTTTGTTCGCAGTTGGCAGGCTAGCGGCTAGATTTGGCATACAGACCGATGTGGCAAAAAGCCTCACACCCAGCTCAATTAAGAAACAGGTTGCTTGCGTATTTCCCTGGCATCTCCTTTGTAGCCACTTGCTATTCAACTGAGCTGATGACCTCATGTATAACATTGTCATTATGATTGATTATGCATTTTGGTGCAACAAACTTGACACCAAACCTATTCCACACTCATGTGATTATTTTACACTTTGGACTACAGGTTGCAAACCTCTTCAAACCGCTTCAGAAGCATATTTAACCCATTTTGGTTTAGAGTTCGCTAGTAAGTATGCTCAGTGCGCTCAGCCATTAAAAATGGCATCGGCCCTGTTTCAAGATGAGACTGATGAACCTAGCCCTGCCGGAGATCCATCAAACGATGCTGGGATTTGTCAAGATGACTCTGCTAACAACTGTCTTTTTCAAGATGAGTTGGATAATCCTGAACCAGATGACGTACCCACTCTGTTTCAGGCAGAACCAGATGAGCCCTTCTGTAATGAACCGCCTACTACTCCAATGGCATCTTTCCTGCCTGAGCCAGAAGTCACTCAGGGGAAAAGGCCACCAATGCTCTTTGAGGACGAACCCGATGAAGCTTCAGATTCTAAGTGCTCTACCTATGATGCGGATGATGAGCTTGGACAACCCCGAGAAAAATCCTTTGTGAATTTATCATTTTCGACAGTCTCCCAGTATGGTCTGTGTTTGCTCCTGGAACAGCTAGTTGCCAGAATATCCAAACTTGCTCCACCCTAACCCCCGTCCCCCCGCCCTTTTTAACTTTTTGTCTCACTTTTCTATGCATCTTGACAAAAAGTGTTGGCTTCAGAAGCCATATTTTTCGTCTCATGGCATCCATGCCTAAAATTCAACCGCTTTCGTTAATAATACGTTTCCGACTACCAAATCAATTCTGCCATAGAGAAATAGGATTGAACATTATTCCATAAAGGCCTCTACTAATAATTAAGATGTCTTCCGTGCAACAATCAAGATAATGAAGGTTATTTCAATTTGTGTTAGGAAATAATTATGCAAATGAAAATAAATCTAAAGGCATTGTTTAAAAGAAGCATACAAGCATAGAGGATAGGACTCTTGTATTAGAACAATAATCTACAATCAATGAGGCCTTTATTGAAGAGAATCCAGCAATAAAAAACAATTAAGAAAGGTATAGACTAGATTCACTTGAAATCAAAACAAGGCTAGCTAAGCAGCACCGCTCTTCTTGCCCGAGGCTACGTTGGATGCATTACATATCATATGGAGGTGCAACGCTTCAAGCAGGAAACACCGGCCTAGCGTTACTCTATATTTTTCAAGACTTTAGGCTTAAGCAAAAACATATCCTTTGAGAACACTGCCGAACGCATGAGGTCTAGCTCTCGACTGCGCGTTGCGAGGGGAAAAATGTTCTCAATGCAGGGG